TTTTGAGAAATCTGACTGGGTGTTTATCAATTTTGTTTATTCTTTCAAAAAACTAGCTTTTAGTTTCATTGAGCTGTTCTGTGCTTTTTTTTTTAATTCTATATTGTTTATTTCTGCTCTTATCTTTATTATATCCTTTCTTCTACTGGCTTTGGGCTTTATTTGCTGCTCATTTTTTAGCTCCTTTAGGTGAAAGGTTAGGTTGTATACTTGGGACCTTTCTTGCTTCTTGAGATAGGTCTGAATTGCCCTGTATTTTCGTCTTCGGAATTCCTTTGCTGCATCCCAAAGGGTTTGGACTGTTCTGTTTTCATTTGCTTCCAGTATTTTTTAATTTCCTGGTTAATCCATTCATTCTTTAGTAGGATGTTCTTTTTTTTTTTTTTTCCAACGTTTATTTATTTTTCGGACAGAGAGAGACAGAGCATGAACGGGGGAGGGGCAGAGAGAGAGGGAGACACAGAATCGGAAACAGGCTCCAGGCTCTGAGCCATCAGCCCAGAGCCCGACGCGGGGCTCGAACTCCTGGACCGCGAGATCGTGACCTGGCTGAAGTCGGACGCTTAACCGACTGCGCCACCCAGGCGCCCCAGTAGGATGTTCTTTAACCTCCATGTATTTAGGGGCTTTCCAAATTTTTTCCTGTGATTGATTTCAAGTTTCACAGTGTTATGATCTGAAAATATGCATGGCATGATCTCAGTCTTTTTGTAACTGTTGAGGGCTGTTTTGTGACTCAAAATGTGATCTATTCTGGAGAATGTTCCATGTTCACTTGAGAAGAATGTGTATTCTGGTGCTTTAGGATGAAATATTCTGAATATATCTGTCAAGTCCATCTGGTCCAATGTGTCATTCAGTGCCATTGTTTCCTTATTGATTTTCTGCCTAGGTGATCTGTTCATTGCTATAAGTGGAGTATTAACGTCTCCTACAATTACAGTATTATTATCCAGAAGTTTGTTCATGTTTGTGATTAACTGATTTATATATTTGGGTATACCACGTTGGGGGCATAAATATTTACAATTGTTAGCTCTTTATGGATAGACCCCTTAATTATGATATAATGCCCTTCTTCATCTCCTTTTACAGTCTTTATTTTAAAACCGAGTTTGTCTGATATAAGTATGGCTACTCCAGCTTTCTTTTGATGTCCATTAGCATGATACATGGTTTTCCATCCTCTCACTTTCAATCTGCAGGTGTCCTCTGGTCTAAAATGAGTCTCATGTAGGCAGCATATAGATAGATCTTTTTTTTTTAAATCCATTCTGATGCCCTAAGTCTTTTGATTGGGGCATTTAGTCCATTTACATTCAGAGTGATTATTGAAAGCTATGAATTTAGTGCCATTGAATTATCTGTAGATTTCATGTTTGTTGAGATGTCTCTGGTTTTTTGAAGTCTTTGCTGCTTTCCACTCACAAAGACCCCCTTAGGATCTCTTGCAGAGTTGGTTTAGTGGTCATGAACTCCTTCAGTTTTTGTTTGTCTGGAAAGTCTTTATCTCTCCTATTCTGAATGATAGCCTTTTTGGATAAAGGATTTTTGGATGCATATTTTTCCTATTCAGCACATTGAATATTTCCTGCCACTCCCTTCTGTCCTGCCACATTTCAGTGGACTGGTCTGTTGCTAACCTTATATGTCTACCCTTGTAGGTTAAGGACATTTTGCCCCTAGCTGCTTTCATAATTATCTCTTTATCTTTGTATTTTGCCAATTCCACTATGATATGTCATGGGGTTGACCTGTTTTTGTTGCTTTTAAAGGGAGTTCTCTGTGCCTCTTGGACTTGGATGCCTGTTTCCTTCTCCAGATTAGGGAAGTTCTCAGCTATAATTTGTTCAAATAAACCTTCTGCCCCTTTCTGTCACTCTTCTTCTTCTGGAATTCCTATGATACAGCTATTGTTTCATGGAATCACTTAGTTCTCTAATTCTTCCCTTGTGATCTAGTAATTTCCTTTTCCTCCTTTTTTCAGCTTCATTATTTTCCATAATTTTATCTCCTATATCACCTATTCTCTCCTCTGCTTCTTTCATCCTCTCTGTCACTGTATCTGATTTATTTTGCATCTCAGTTATAGCATTTTTTAATTCATCATGGCTAGTTCTTAGGTTTGATCTCTGCAGCTAGATATTCTCTGCTGTCTTCTATGCTTTTTTCAAGCCAAGCAATTTGCCTTATGACTGTTATTGTAAATTTTTGTTTAGATATATTGTTTACACCTGTTTTGAGCAATTTGTTGGCTGTGATTTCTCCCTTTATTTTTTTGTTTTTTGAGGGAACTCCATACTGTGTTCCACAGTGGCTATACCAATTTACATGCCCACCTTCAATGTATGAGGGTTCCTTTTTCTCTGCATCCTTGCCAAGACTTATTATTTCTTGTTTTTTGACTTTGACCATTCTAACAGGTGTGAGGTGAAATTTCATTGTGGTTTCTATTTGCATTTCCCTGATGATTAGTGATGTTGAGCATCATGTGTATGTTGGCCATCTGTGTTTCCTTTGGAAATATGTCTATTCAAGTCCTCTACCCATTTTTAATCAGGTTGTTTGTTTTTTTGGTGTGAGTTTTGTAAGTTCTTTGTATATTTTGGATATTAATCCCTTATTAGACATATAGCTTGCAAATATCTTCTCCCATTCAGTAGATTGTCTTTTTGTTTTGTTGATGGGTTCCTTTGCTATGTGAAAGCTTTTGATTTTGGTATAGTTTTAACAGATTATTTTTGCTTTGTTTTCCTGGCCTGAGGAGACACATCTAGAAAAACATTGTTGTGGCTGATGTTAGAGAAAATACTGCCTGTGTTCTTCTGTAGGATTTTTATGGTTTCAGGTCTCACATTTAGCCCTTTAATCCATTTTGAGTTTAATTTTGTGTATGGTGTTAAAAGGTGGTCTGCTTTAGGGGTGCCTGGGTGGCTCAGTCAGTTGAGCATCCAACTCTTGATTGAGGCTCAGGTCATGATCTCACAGTTTGTGGAATCGAGCTCCTGCTTGGGATTCTCTCTGTCCTCTCTCTCTGCCCCTCCCCCCTCTCAAAATAAATAAATAAACATTAAAAACAGGTGGTCCAGTTTCATTCTTTTATATGTAGTTGTCTAGTTACTTTTCCATTGTATTTATTTATTCCCTATTGTATAATCTTGTCTCCTTTGTCATAAATTAATTGATCATATAATTTTTGGTTTATTTCTGGGCTCTCTATTCTTTTCTTTTTGGGCTCTCTATTCTTTTCTTTTCATCTATGTATCTAGTTTTGTGCCAGTACCATAGTGTTTTAATTACTACAACTTTGTAGTATATCTTGAAATCTGGAACTGTGATACCTCCAGCTTTGTTCTTTCTCAAGATTGCTTTGGCTATTTGGGATCTTTTGTGCTTCCATACAAATTTTAGCATTATTCTGGTTTTGTGGAAAATGCAGTTGGTGTTTTAATAGGAATTTCATTGAATCTGTAGATTTCTTTGTGTGATATGGACATTTTATCAATATTAATTCTCTCAATACATGAGCATGATATATCTTTCCATTTGTTTATGTCATCTTCAGTTTCCTTTATCAGTGTTTTATAGTTTTCAGAGCACATGTCTTTCACCTCCTTGGTTAAGTTTATTCCTAGGTATTTTATTCTTTTTGGTGCAATTGTAAATGGTGTTGTTTTCTTAATTTCTTTTTCTGCAACTTCATTAATGGTGTATAGAAATAGTACTGATATCTAGGTATTAATTTTGGATCCTTCAACTTTACTGAATTCACGTGTTCCTGCTGGTAGTTTTTAGTTGAGTCTTTAGGATTTTTTATGTATAGTATCATTCCATCTGCAAATTGTGACAGTTTAACTTCTTTCTTACCAATATTGATGCCTCTTGTTTCTTTTTTTTTTTTTTTTTTGTCTAATTGCTGTGGCTAGGACTTTTCAGTACTATGTTGAATAAGAGTGGCAAAAGTGGACATCCTTGTTTTGTTCCAGATCTTAGAGGAAAAGCTCTCAGTTTTTTCCCATTTAATATGATGTTAGCTGTGGGTTGTCATATATTGCCTTTATTATGTTGAAGTATGTTTTCTCTACACCCACTTTGTTGAACATTTTTATCATGAATGGATATTGAATTTTGTCAAATGCCTTTCTGCATCTATTGAGATGATTGTATGATTTTTGTTCTTCATTTGGTGGCTGTGGTGTTTCACATTGATTGATTTGTGAATATTGAACCATCGTTGCATCCCTGGAATAAATACTACTTGATTGTGATGAATGATCTTTTTAATGTATTGTTATGTGCAATTTACTAATTTTTTTGAGGATTTTTGCATCTATCTTCATGAGGTATATTGGTCTGTAGTTTTCTTTCTTTCTTTTTTTCTGTCTGTCTGTCTTTTTCTTTTTTGTGGTGTCTTTATCTGGTTTTGGTATCTGGGTAATGCTAGCTTCATAGAATGTATTTGGGAGCCTTCCTTCCTCTTCTATTTTCCGGAGTAGTTTGAGAAAAATAAATATTAACTCCTCTTTAAATGTTTATTAGAATTCACCTGTGAATCCACCTGGATTTTTGTTTCTTGGAAGTTTTTTGATTACTGATTCAGTTTCTTTACTTGTAATTGGTCTGTTCAGATTTTCTATTTCTTCCTGGTTCAGTTTTAGAAGATTGTTATGTTTCTGTGCATTTATCCATTTGTTCTAGGTTGTTCAATTTGTTGACATATAGATTTTCCTAATATTCTCCTATAATTCTTATATTTCTGTGATGTCACTTGTTAATTCTCCTCTTTTTTGATTTTATTTATTTGAGTCCTTTATTTTTTCATGATGATTCTGGCTAAGGGTTAATCAATTTTGTTTATTTTTTCAAAGAACCAGTTCTTCATTTTGTTAATTTTTTCCTTTTTCCTTTTCCTTTTTTTCTTTTTTAGTCCCTATGTCATTTATTTCTGCTCTGATATTTATTATTTCCTTTCTTATACTCAACTTGGGTTTTATTTGTTATTCTGTTTCTAGTTCCTTTAGGGGCAAGGTTAGATTATTTATTTGAGCTTTTTCTTGTTTCTTGAGGTAGGCCTGTATTGCAATATATTTCCCTCTCACAACTGCTTTTGCTATGTCACAAAGATTTTGGACCATTGTGTTTTTCTTTTTATTTTTCTTCATGTATTTTTTTTTTAATTTCTTCTTTGATTGCTTCATTGACCCATTGGTTGTTTAGTATTATGTTGTTTAGTTTGCACATTTTTGTGTTCTTTACAGTTTTTTTCTTGGGATTTATTTCTAGTTTTAGTCCACTGTGACCAGAAAAGATTCCTGGTATGATTTTGATCTTAAATTTTTTGAAGCTTGTTTTGTGGCCTCATATGTGATCTATTCTGGAGAATGTTCCATGCACTTGAAACGAGTGCTGTTCCTGGATGCTTTTGAATAGAATGTTCTGTATATATCTGTTACGTCCATCTGGTCCAATGTGTCATTCAAAGACATTGTTTCCTTATTGATTTTCTGCCTGGATGGTCTATCCATTGATGTACATGATGTGTTAAAGTCCCTACTATTATTGTATTACCATAAATTTCTACCTTCATGTCCATTATTATTTGCTTTATGTATTTAGGTGCTCCAGTATTGCATGTGTAGATATTTAAAATTGTTCTATCAACTTTTTGGATTGATCCCTTTATCATTATGTACTACCTTTCTTTGTCTCTTGTTATAGTCTTTGTTTTAAAATTTATTTTGTCTGATATAAGTATGGCTGTCCTGGCTTTTTCTTTCTTCTTCTTCCATTTCCATGATAAATGTTTTTACATCCTTTCATTTTCAGTCTGTATGCATCTTTAGGTCTGAGGTAAGTCTCTTGAAGGAAGCATATAAATTGGTCTCGCTTTTTAGAAATCCATTCCACCACCCTATGTCTTTTGAATGGAGCATTTAGGCCTCTAAATAGATTTAATAATTTCTTTTTTTGCTTATTATTTAAAATAATTTTTTTTAATGTTTATTCTTGAGAGAGACAGAGCATGAGTGGAGGAGGGGCAGAGAGAGAGGGAGACACAGAATATGAAGGAGGCTCCAGGCTCTGAGCTGTCAGCACAGAGCCCAACATGGGGCTCAAACTCACCAACCACGAGATCATGACCTGAGCTGAAGTTGGACACTTAAACGAGTGAGCCACCCAGGCACCCCGTTTTTCTACTGTGTGTCTCACATTATATTTAATGATTTATTTATAAATCATCTCCTAATTAAGCTGTGTGAGCTTCTTATGGGAAGGAATCATGTCTTATTAATATCAGGATACCCAGTAGTAAGCACAGTGCCTATAGCAGGTGATTAGCAACTATCTAAATGCATTTATTCCCCCAACAAATATTTATTGAGGCTTTTAATCTGCCAGCTGTTCTGGGCCTTGCAAATAAAGCCATAAACAAGACAGATAAAGATCTTTCCTACATAGAGCTCACATTCTGGTAGAGAAGATGGATAAACAAGTAAACAGATAGATATGGTATATAGTTTTGATAATAATATTGGTATAAAGAAAAACAAAAGAATGTAAGAGGTAGATAGTTGATAGAGATTCTCTCAGGTTCACAAGTCAAGAGGTAGTCAAATGAAACTTGCCAAAAGGGCAGAGACTTCTGTCCAGTCAACCTCGATTACTGATAGCCTTCTTATCCAAGTCAGCATAATGCGCTATTGGAATCAGGGTGAAAGGAAGGGGATTAATGAGACAAACTGGGCTGGCAGCTTTACCTACATTGTCTTACTGGATTGTTATAATATCCTTGAGATAGGTGCTTTTTAGATGAGTGTTAACCTGAACTTCAGGGATGTCAAATAATGTGTCCATGGTGTAGTGTCTGAGGGTGTGAGTGAAGATTCAAATTCAAGTAATGCGAGCCACCTACTCAACACCATTTCTCCAGTTGAGTTCAATGAGTAAATACAGTGAAGTGCTGAGTTTGTGCCACACCCTGTTCTAAGTGCTTGGCATACATCAGTGAATATACCAGATAAATATTTCTGCCTTTACAGAAAATAGCAAGTGTTGGTGAGGGTGTGGAGAAATTGAAATTCTTGTGTAGTACTGGTAGGAATGTGAAATGGTGCAGCCACTATGAAAAGCAATACAGCAATTCCTCAAAAGATTAAAAGTAAAGTTACTATATGATCCAGCAATTCTATTTATGGATATATACCTAAAAGAATTGAAAGCAGAGTCTTGCAGGGATACTTGTACACCCACGTTCAGAGCAGTGTTATTCACAACAGCTAAAAGATGGAAGCCACCTGAGTGTCCACTGACAGATGAGTGGATACACAAAGTGTGAGCACGGTCCAGCCTTAAGAAGGAAGGAGATTCTGAAACATGGATGAACCGTGAGAACATTACGCTAACCGAAATAAGCCAGTCACCAAAAGACAATACTGTGTGATTCCACTTGGAGGAGGTGCATAGAGTAGTCAAATCCATAGAGATAGAAAGTAGGACGGTCGTTGTCAGGGGCTGGAGGGAGGGAGAATGGAGAGTTGGTGTTCAATGGCAGAGATGAAAAGAGCACTGTGGAGAGATGGTGGTGATAGCTGCACAACAATGTGAATGTATTTAATACACTGCATGGTACAGTTGAAAATGGACTTTAAAGCAGTAAGCTTTATGTCGTGTGTATTTTACTATAATTAAAAATATCCCTGCCCTTATGGGGCTCATGTTCTCATTGGGGGAGATAGACAATGGAAAATAAACAGATTAAAATGTATACCATAAACTTTTGCCAGAAGGAGATGAGTTATATAGAGGAAAACAGAGAAGGTTAAAGAGGGCTGGGAGCAGGGAGAGAGTATCTTCGGTTTTTAAAAAAGGTGGTTAGGTCTGTGGTCTTCTTCAGCTGAATTCAATATGCTGTCAATGAAGTGTGTCAGCCCTGAAATTGTGATATCTTCCTTGGGATCCATGTTTTGCCTAGAAATTTCTGGCTTGGTGGAGTCTTAAGTGGGAATTTCAAGTCTTTCAGGAATAACTTTCAGACACCATCATGAGGCCAGTGGATTTTCATATGGAAACACTCAGAGGGGTTTCTTTTCAAATGTGTGAGGGAGACAGTTAGGAGGGGTGTGCACATTAGGAAATAACAAACAGTTAAGTGGGAGAGGTGGGAACAGAAGCGAAGTAACTCGGCAGGGTGAGTAGTTTTAGGCAGAGCAGTAGGCTCTAAAACTGGTAGGCTAGGTGATGGTAAGTAAGCACAGGATCCTTATTGTTAACTACTTTTTACGCCATCCAATGACTCCTTCTGCAAGTGTTCTGAAGGTCATCTCTGCATGTGCCTCTGGGTTAGTTCCTGGGGCTCAGAATAGAAATAGAAGCTGTCCCCAGGGAGTGGCATAATCTAGTAGGAAACCCAAAACATATGCCCCTTGCAAATACTTAAATAAAAATGGCATATAGTTTTTGATAAAATATCCAGATGAGTGATAGAGAAAATGAATGCTGTATTTAACAAGGTGTATATTGCACAGGCATTTGGTGGGATTAGAATGGACGTGACTTGGTCAGAACATACTCTCGGAGTGAAGAGTCAGTCCACCGTGACCAAGAATATCAGTTCTGGTTTCAGGAGCTTTGAGGAGAGAAGAGCCCTGGGGACAGGGGCCACTGCAAGACATTTCAGGGAGGCGAGGGAGCTCAGGCTGAGCCTGAAGGGTGGGAAGGGAGAGAGGACCAGGAGTAATTACGTTTGTTTCATGAATTAAGTGGAATTCTTGGAAGATTATTCTGACAGTTGTGTGTGGGACAGAGGGGAACTGGAGGAAGGAGAGGAAAATTGGTGAGGCCGTAATAGGAACTGAAGTGTGAGGTGAGGTGGAGAGTGGAGGACGTGCTGTTGGAGAGAAAGGGACAGCTGAGGGTGGAGACTAGGTGACTCCACCTCATACTACGAAGGGCCAAGGCATTTCTTTCTTACCATGAATTGTTTAGATGTCATTAGGAAGTATAATAAAAACATAAAAAGGTGTGAACTTAAGCTGCTGACAGTGCCCCATTCCCTTCTCTGCAATTCCTCTCTTAGGACCCAATGAGGGAGTTGGAAAAGAATATTTGTGGAGATGGCTTGCAGAATTGAGCTAGGCCCCTACAGGAGTAGCATCGTCAGCAGGAATTACTCCAGGGTCTGCAGTATTAGAGGACACATAAGTGGGCATCTCAAACTCAGCCTTAGTTTGGATCTGGAAGAATAGTATAAATTTTTTGAAGCTCTCAAGCCCTGGAAATGCTATCCTGGGAAGTCTCATCTTAGGGCTATATCTGGGAATCCAGAACCAAGGGAATTTTCCTGACCTGCTGTTCCAGTAAACCCAAGCTTATCATCTTGTTAAAACTGTACTTTGGGCATGTAGTTCTTAGTTCTCCGTCTAGGCAAGCTTTAGAAAGAATTCAGGAGGCTCTAAGAGTTGTAAGGTTTCCCTTTTACAGTTTTAAAGTTTTAATTTGGGTGCTAATCAAAAATTCTTCAGGCAAGTGGTAATGTTTGTACAGATCTCTTTAAAAAGAGGAAGGGGAAGATATATGACTGAATGAATTTCTTAAAAAAATTTTTTTTTAAGTTTATTCATTTTGAGAGACAGAGCGGAGGAGGGGAGAGAGAGAGAGAGAGAGAGAGAGAGAGAGAGAGAGAGAGTCAGTCCCAGGCCGACTCCGTGCTGTCAGCGTGGAGCCTGATGCGAGGCTCAAACTCACGAACTGTGAGATGATGACCTGAGCTGAACCCAAGAGTCAGATGTTTGACAGACTGAGCCGCTCAGGCACCCCTGAATGCATGTCAACTTGCAGAAAAACTACTTAAAGGAGATGAGGGCTAAAAGGAAGTGGATGCAGTAGCGGGCTAGTTGGAGCTCAGGAGTTTTAGCCAAGATAACTTCACAAACACCATTGAGTACATTATATTAGTCAGAAATACGTTTGTGTTAATGTGCTTCTGGATTCTAGTGTTCAACCTAAGATCCATAACATTTTATTATGACTTACAATATAGTCAAGTAAGTCAACTGGGATCAACAACTCTCAGGGAATAGACCTTGGGCAGAAAAGGTGGGAATAGGAGGGTGAGACGAGGGGAGGGCTTTTGAAGTTGTGAGCTACAAAGAGCAATTGAAGCAGGCCAGATGTAGGCAGGAGGCGGGGTTTCTGAACAGTGAGAGGGTAGCATTGAATGTCAGGATGGGTGTGAGGCAACTGGGGAGAAGCAGAGATTGACACATGCCATGATGGAGAGGTGAGGGGCCACTAAAGACAAAGCAGGTACCTTATACTAGGTACTGAGTATAAAAGAGGAATAAAAAACATGG